GGAAAACTGCTTTGGTGTAAGTAATAAAAGAAAGTCGACTCTGACTTACGATTTTCCTCTGAAGTGGAGCTGTAGCTTCAAGATGATGAGTTAAAGCTGAATGCACAATGTAGTGATACTTGGTAGGTGGCCTCCATCTCGTCTTAATCTGCTCTATATCAAACCTAAGTGACATAGTCTTTGCAGGAGCCCAAACATTGCATTTTCCTGTGTTCAGCTGACCAGCGAGTAGCTCATAAGTTACAGTCACTGAAATATCTACTATTTTTGCTTCTGCATTTTCCTTCCATAGTAGACCAAAATTCCTATTTTGTGCTTTTTATGCACTTTGATGCAGACACAGAAGAAATGTGCAACCAGACACAGCTGTGCTGGCATTGAAAGCAAAACAGGAGAACTCTAGATGTTAAAAAGAAAGGTGTGCTTATAGTGTGAAGAAGCAGGTGGACAGAAATGGGGAAGTTGACTCCAATGGGAAACTTGGGGAAGCTGAGCACTCTGGGGCTGTGTCAGGCTCTCCTGACAGTGGGCCTCCCCCTGGCTCCTGTGGGGCTCATGGTGTCAGTAGCTCTCCAGGAGCCACTACATACCTGTCCTTTGGGTCCCCTGACTTCAGGTACCATGAACAGAGGGTGCTCAGTGCAGGAAAAGGCACTGAACAGTAATGGTGCTCAGTGGTGTCATGGGCGGTCAGCCAGAGTAGCTGTCTGTGATTCGTAGGGCTGCCTTCAGGATTAGCCGGGAAAACATCATTCCGTGTTGCTGAAAAGCTGCTGAACCAGGCACATACATGCTTGAAAGAAAGCAATTAGGCAAAGCAGCTAATTGTAGCACCATCATATAGATATCTATTCATATGTGAAAAATGGTATAAGTAACTCTAGCTGTCTTTTGGGAAATTATCCTCCTTTTATATTTTATTAGCTAATAAATTTCTGACAGCTGAGTCATCAAATTACAATAATAGTCCAATATTTCAACCAGTGTCTGAGAATTACATATTCACTTGCTTTTATTGGAAAGATTGTTTAGATAAGAACTAAGGACACATACAGGAGAAGAAAGAAATACAGGCATGTCTGTCAGAATAGAAGTACCTGAAAGCAAGGAGTAGCGTAGGAGAAAGTGAGATGAAATGGGATAGAGTTAGCAATTAGAGTATTTCAGTAGCATTAGCTGCAGATACTCTGTATGTAGATTCTACTCCCCAATTTTGTTCTTAATAGCATACAGAAAATCGAAGGAACCAGTTAATTTTGAAACCTATTATTAAACTCAAAAGCAGAATAGTCACTGTTGTCAGTTATTAGGTACTTGAATAATTTGAAGACTGGTGGCAGACAAACCAAAAAGATGAGTAAGATATCTAAATATTAATTTTGGCATGTTTCAGTTTGCTTGCTGTTACCTCACATCTTTTTGATCATACCTATTCTATATAGAAAACCTTTTGCCATCATTGTTTCTGAAAAGTGGTTCAAGTCACATTGTTAGTTCAAGTTCAGGTTTGGCCATTTGCTCACTTTATTAAACACTGGTCTTTATTAATTATGATATTTTAAAAATCGGCATGCTTCAAAATATCATGGAAACTAACCACTGTCCTTAGCTTCTGTGTAATTCTTCAGTACACTGATTAAAACAATTAAATACTCGGATCATTGAACGAAGAAGAAATTTGGTTTCTATTCACGGCCCTGCCACTGAGTCAGCATATGACTTGGAGACGTGTTTTGGCACTCTTTCTTGAGTGGAACAGCACCTTGGTTGGTGCAGCACTCGCACCAGTGAAACCGCCTCCTGGCAAAGAGCTGCCATGCACGAATAAGCATAAACAAGGACTCTGGCCATTAACGTTTCTGCTCTGTGAGCAAAAATAAAAGTTTGGGGGTTGATTTGTTTGTTTGTTTTCCTTTCCAAAGCATGTTCTGATCTTTTGATGCAAGTACTTCACAAACACTGAATATGATGACATACTTCCCAAGTAAGCAAGTAAATAAGCTTAGTAATGATAGGCTTGGCCTAGTATACCATTAGTCTAGGCAATGTATAATCGTAACAAAGGACAGCATTTGCTCTGCAAAACTATGAAATTAAGGGAAGGCAGATCAGACAGATGTAGCAAAAAGTTAATTCCCAGGAAGAGTGAGATTGCACCGATCAGGCTGAAAAGCACTCGCCTTGGCACAGTGGTTATCTAACCACTGTCGTCGTTGGCAGTGCAGAAAAGAACAATTTCAAGGTCAAATGAGGGGAGATATTAAAATTTGGCTTAGTGAATGTTCTCAGGGGCCTGCTTTTCTTGCACATAATAGAGGCATTAGCAAAATCCAGGAGAGTCAATAATGTTGCCACAATCCATACAGGTGGTTGAAGAACTGTTTGGACCCTGCGCTGTGCCACAAAATACCACAGCTAAAGCCCAATGCCTTCAGTACTGAGATGAATATTTTGTACTGAAAGGGACTCCTCCATTGGCAGTGTGAGTGACTGCCTCCTAAGAAGCTGGTGATGCTTTCCCTAATCTCTTTCCTTGATGAGCTGCCTGGAGAAGTAGAACAACAGCAGAGTCAGCATAAAGCTTCACCTGTGTCTTTACTCCATTCCTTGTTGTATGAGTTACTAATAGGTTAGTACAACCAGGTTTTTTGTGTATCTGAGCAATTACAGTGCTGTTCATGTGATTTTTGTATAACTGCCAGGCCACAAGAGAAATGACTTGAACAACTATCTTCTTTTACAGGAGTGAATATCTTTTGCATTTCCTTACCACGTCCAGATACAGGACATCAGTGAAATTAAACAAAATAGCAGACCTTCTAAAGGTCTACAGGGAGCTCAAGAAATTGGCCACTGTTATTCATGGGTCAGTGTTACTGAAATGGCATGACTTTACTGCCATTTTTAAGAAATTTATTTACACTACCTTAAAACTGGAATCTAAGTGTTCTTTGGTGTTCTTTTGTTTTGGTTTTAAAAAGGGGAAAAGGGCACTGAGTAATTTATATAAATTCACTAAAAAAAATTTTATTGGACTGTCTATGTTGAAAATATATAAGGATTATTGAAGCCCCGTCCTGTAAAACTGAAGGGAACTGAAGGAACTGTTCTCCTATAAAGGATTTTAATAGCAGCTGTGATAGTCTTTTGTTATTTATCTTGCTGTTGTGCCTTCAGGCCTTCTTAAACTCTTATTGTACAGACATGCTATAAAGAGGCATTACAGCTTTCAGCCTCGGTTGTGACAGGATGAAACAGTTTGGTGAACAGCGTGGATGACCCAACAAAAAGAGTAAGAGGAAAGGTCTCATTGCAGCCTATGTTGGAGCCTGTTTATGCAATAGTTCAATGTTCATGTGTTCGGTGTTACCAGAGTTGTTCCCAGGCTGAAAGTCAAAAACACAGCACTGCACCAGCTACTAAGGAGAAAAATGGCTGCTATAGTTGAACCCAGGACATCATGTCAGAAGGGCTTTCTTTATTGTGTGCGAAGAACTGTGTATCTTTTAATTTCCCCTTCTTTTAAAGGCTGTTTCTTTCATAAGAAGAGATGGGAGAAGCCATGTGCAAGGAAGGGAATGGCTGTTCCTGTGGAGCACTGGGGAGCAGCCCTTTGGCTGCGAGGTGGGAAGGCATAGGACAGCAGGGAAAACCCAGTGAGGATCTGGAGCCCCAGTCCTCAGCTGTGGTGGCCAAAACCATCTGGGGGACCAGGCATCTGTGCAGAGGTTGGTTCCCAAGCCAGAGCTTGGGAAATCTGGGAGTTTATTGAATCAGACTGGACAGTAAGCACTCACCCCACAAGGACACAGTGAGTGAGGGGAGCATGCTTTGTACAGCCTTTGCCTTTATTTCTGCTGGGCTTAGTCACTGGAGGCTGCTCAGTACTGTCAGACTTTCTTCAGTTGAAACACTTCTTGATCTTTCTTGGAAAATTCACTTTATAGAAGAGGTTCAGGCAAATCCACCCCACAGCCCTAGTGCACCAGGCCTAGCTGGGTGCAGTAGACATCTGGCTGATGTGGAGTCCCACCAAAACATGTAGCAAAACAGATATTATCATTAATTAATTTTGTAGTGTACTAGTGAAGGTTGATGGCTGACTAATGCTTTGGATAAAGGTTACTTTTGTGGGAGATGTGTTTTATTGGAAATAAAACCATCCCAGTGTTAAATATACTTTGAGACACCGACACCCTGCTCCCTGACCGACATTAGGAGGATGCTGCCCACAGTATCCATGTGAGGCGTGATCCTTTCAAATCACATTGCCATTACTGGAGCCAAGGGGCAGCATGACTCTTGTCCACATTCAAAAGGCAAAACAACATGACTGGTTGTTGCTGCCAGGTGACCTGGACACAAAGTGTCTCTGGATGTCCACTGGAGCTATGGCATCACTTATGATGCCATGTTTGCTGTCAGTGATGGGATGAGTTGCTGCATGGGCACACGGTTGCTCAGCTTTGCTACTGCCTCAAAATGCTGTCAGACTCCATTACTGTTTGGAGCACAGACACTCAGAAGATGATCTGCAAAAAAATATAGGGCAACCTATTTGGCACTGTGAACACAGGGAAATGTTGTGGTGCCCTGTGTGGCTTCTCCTCTCCCCTTTTGATTTCCAGCTGCCATGTCTTGATATTCGCAACACTGAAGAGCTGTAGCCCCTCTTCCTAAATGGTAGCAAAAGAAGAATCAGTAGGACTGAAACATATTTGCTCTGCTTGATACCCTTCTTCACCTCCTGGCAGCAACATTCCTCATAGTTCCTCGGCGAGGAGACAATGCTTTAAAAATAGAAATGAAGAAAGGGAGGAGAAAAAAGGAACTTTCTGAGACCAGCTTCACCTGTAATTTTGAAAAGCCTGGTTTATTTTTAAAATCTTTACTTTCCTGGTGACATTATCATTAAAGCCCTTATTGATGTCTGTAATTGTGTTTTTATATCATTGTAACTGACCTAACTCTGTTTTTCTTCATCTCCTTTTCTCTCCCAGTGGAGTTTTTATACTGTGATTTGGCTTCCATGAAGTCTATACGGCAATTTGTGCAGCGGTTTAAAGCAAAGAATTGTCCACTCCATGTCCTGGTGAATAATGGTGAGTTCTGGGTTTTTTTCTTCATGTCTGCAGGGGAAGACATGACAAACGGGGCTCTCATCTATCACTTCACATTTCAAATCAATTATCTGAACCATACAGCAGGTTACAATATGGCTGCATTAATAGGAATGTTTTTCTAGGACTTAAATTGCATTTGTTGGAGAGATTGCAGACTGAACACTTCCATGCCACCCCTGCTTGTGACGTGATTGCAACTCTTGTTCCTTTGCTGTGTTTTTTAGCTCTCCGGCACTAGAAATCATGCAACTGCACAAGAATCTGAGCATCCTTAATAAACAGAAAAAAGGAAAGGAAAGCTGTACTGTATGTGTGTAGGAAACCTGTCCTTAAACCTTTATTTACTTTCTCTCCCATTATGTTTTCCCTGTATGAACACGTGTTCACTACAGCTGCCTGGTGAGCTGGGTTGGGGCGTTAATCCACCTGAAATATAATCTAGCAAATTATCCAGTGCCCTCAGAGCAGTCACTGCTTAGATCAAGGTACTGCTGGAAAGTTGTCCATAAAGTGTCCTCAGTGGTCAGAGAACAAATTAAAAGGACAACATTTATCTTGCATTGGTACAATTATCAAATGAATCTCATTACTCTTATGGATTTTAACTTTTGTTATTCACATACTTGCCATCTAATCATGTTTTACAGCCACAGCATTTTTGGAAACCAGTCCATACAATAATTATCCTCCAAAAACCATGCACGCTCTGCATGCATTTCCCTGAAGGGGAATCTTCACCTGTCTATTTAACTAGGGGAAAAAACCGCCAGCAACAATTTAAGCTTCTTTTAGAAGTTTTCTGCTGTTACATGCTACTGTTCTTGTTTTCCCAATTATTTGCATATATTTTTATTAAGACATCCCAAAGAACATTTTCTGTATTCCTATGCACCCTGCAGTCCTAGTGAGGGCAAACGTGCTGTAAATAAATGGGTTTGTTACAATTCGCTGATGCCTTAAAAAGCTCTCAGGAACACAAGCAAATATTGCAATAAAAATTCAGGAGTATTTGAGTTACTGATTGATATGAAACATTCATGAAATGTTCAATTAAATGTTCATTTTTATTTGACTAGTCAAAATAGCCTACCATTATTATTTAAAATGTGCAATAATTAAAGGTAGTGGATATTTAATCTTGGTTACAAAATCTTACTAGTTTTGCATGCCTACTCCAGCAGTTTTCCAGGTCACTGGTGATCCTTTAAAAAATGTTTCTCCATCACTTATTCTCCACCTCTTGCCTAGCTCAAGGATCTAATTGGGAATTAAATTAACAGTAAAATCCTGAGTTTCAAAGTATCTTCCTAGAGCTAGACACCAGGTGCCACAAAAATTTCAGTGAGCTTTAGGTATCCAACTAATTCAGACACTTTAAGAAGCCTTACATGAATATTTAGGGCGTTCAAAATGGAGATTAGTGGGCTAGAGTCACCTCCTCTCTTTTTGTTATAGGTGATTTTACCATATACATTTAACTTTCTAATTTCTAATGTAAAAGGAAAAATTTGGTTGAATGCACACATTATTTCAGTTGACAAATAAAGGCCTGTTGTGCCATTACTACACTTTCTGCATCTGTAATGTGCATGCTCAGCTCTTGGTTTTTAAAATAAACAAAGCATTAAAGATTCAAATAGACTATTACATAAACATTTTTAAAATATATAATGTGCTAGTGCTAAAAAGAGAAAAATGCTATGACACAGAAAACAAATTAATTTTCTGTGAAAAAATAATCTACATAGCTGAACTATGAGGCACAGAAAGATGAATGCAGGACAAGCAGTCTAGAAAGCTTAATCTGAGAGAAGGTCAGAAGAATATGTCTTCTACTCTGCTAATTAGCAATTGGGTGCCATTTTTTGGTTTTGTTTTTGAAAAGAACTGTGCCTTTGAACAGTTGAAAAGTATTTAGTAAATTACATCATGTACACAACTGTAATTATTTAATACATTCATTAAAATGTATGCTGTTAAGATACATAAGAAAGTCTGCTATCTTCCTGTGGTTGTGGAAGGGACAGATAGTAAAACACTTCATAAAATTCCACAAGCAGTAGTCACTGCTTCATGCCAGAGAGGTTTTTTTCTAACTTCAAGTCAGTTATTTTCTGTGTGCTATAATTGTTTCTCAGCACCTTGTAGCTAATGTTTTTACTTATACATTGTTTACAGTACTTAATGATTCTAACAAAGAGAGCTAACACCAAAATCACATCATCTTTAATGACAACAGAACACCTATGGATACCAAATGTGGATGGTCTAACTCACTGGCAAAGATATACTACTTTCTCTGTTGCAGTTCATTGAATGGTTTGTGATTCTGGCTACAGGTCAGGAAAGGAGTGGGAGAAAATGATGAAGACAGCTGGTATATTCCTTGGCATGCATACCAACACAAAAAAAACTTCGAGATTTCAGGATATTATTAGCCTACTGTACACAGATTACAGTTAATATATTTCAGGTTGAAGCCTATCTAAGCCAATTTAAAATCAATATTTCTGAGCTGCTGGCTAATGCAGACCTTCATATTTCATACTTCAGGGGTCATCTAAGAAATCTCAGTCTCTTGATAGAATGAGTATGTCTCTAAGCTTCCCTCTTTAGTTCCCAGGGAATAATAAAAGATTTATCAGTAGATACCTATGTGAAATATATATGTTTCTTTGCGTTACTCCAAAGTAACGGCCACAGTTCAGCCACATGCAGCCCAGCCATAATCCTTTGCAGGGAGCCGTTTTAGTCCCGTGGATCACATGTTAAATTATTCTTGTCTTTGAGAATTTGCAGGACCAGATCTTCAGAAGGAAGTGAGATCTGAAGGGTGAAACAAGTGGATATATCACAGGATCACAGCATTTTATAAGTACCTACCTATTCACAAGTATTATTGATCAGTTAGGTTTAACAATAGTTACTTGTATTATCACAGTGAGATCCATGTGAAAAGATCCTGTCCCACTGGATTAGGTAAGAGCCAGCTCCCCTCTCTGTAGCAGCTGCAGGTGACACAGATTATAAAATGAAAAGGAGAGAAACTCAAGAGAAATGGAAATTCACTGGAGAAGGGAAAGTTAGTGAGGAAGGTTGCTGTTGACTCCAGTGGAAGTTGGGCTTTATAAAGAATAATGCTTCTCCTCCAGCCACATAGGAAGGCTGTGGTGAATTCTGAATCTGGTATCTCAGTGCATCTTATATCAGTGTCTTGCTTACAGCATCATGTTTCATCTTTATCTTTCCTTGAAGACAAATAAGAGCAGTAAGTCAGAAAAGCTGAGATGAAAAAGGTACAGAGGAACAGGGAGAAAGGGAGGAGGACAAGTGGAAGGGCAAGTGGCCCTTTACCTTTGTGTAAGGGATGATAGATAGTAGACATCATGGGAGAGATGAGCCTTTGGGAGATGTTTAATGCTGGAAGAGGTAATTTGAGGTGGTGGGGGACTTGTTTTTAAATGGGTATTCCATGAATGATGGGCAAAACTAGACGATTTATAAGGACAGTATCATGCGGCATGAATGTGTTCTAAAATGAGAAGATATTCTCAGAGCCATATTTTTCTGGAGAAACTTAGTGCACAACAGATGCCATTTATTCAGATTTTTCAGAAGAGGTTATCTAAGAGTGACGACTAGAAAGTATGAGGAGGCAGACGGATCACACGCTGCTCTTTACAGGCATTAAAGGCCTTGGGTACTGGAAGTAACTTGTCTGGGCACATGTGTCAGAGCACAATGCTACTTCTGACGAGATCCAACCCAGCTTGTTCAGAATGACTGAAGGTTATACAGTGCCAACATTACCTAGTGCCCAGATTTTTGGCAGTAGTCATCAGCTAGAGCTTTTATTATACTTGAATAGCACTGTTGTCTGCCAGAATGATATGTATCCTATATAAAGATATCAGATTTCTTATAAAAGATTGTTTCTTGTTAAAAGAACTAGTAAGTTAGAAGAGTAACTTCAGGCTACTTCTGACTTTCAAACTGCAAGGATTTCATTCATGAAAATCCTGTCTTCTGTTTGATGCTATCTTTGTCTTTTTAATTATTTCCAAAGCTTTTTCTGTGTCTATGATATCAAACACTTCGTAAAAAGGGATATATCTCAGGCTCCACATGCTGTAGGTTCTTGACCCATTTGCTTTTATGTTCTCAATGTGAATGTTTTATCAGTGGAAGACAGATACAAAATTCAGCTATTGATGGATTAGGAAACCCAGCCGGTTCTACTTAAGTGTGTGGAACATTTGCCATTGGCTTTCCTCAGAGGCAGGAGTGAGCCATGTCTTATTCCTACCTAATCCTTTCATAGCTTTCAGGTAAAAATATTTTTATACAAAGTGCAAAACAAGATATTTTACTTCTAAGAGAAATTCCTATTCAATTAGAAAGCTGTAACGGACTTTCCTATTTTCTGATAGTGAGTGGGATAACTCACCGTTGTGCCAACTCAAATAACCAGTTACTGAGCATATTTTTAGGAAAAAAAGTGTTTGGGTTTTTTTTCCAGGCAGACCCAATTATGAATGCTCTGATTTATTTTAGTGTAGAAACAAAATGTCAGTTATGGAACATATTTTAGTTTTTTAACCTACGTATTTTTCCAAGGAACTAGCCTGTGCTTTCTGTGTTTGCAGTGTAGCAGCATGACACTGAATCAGAAAGTGAATCTGTTCTTAAGGAGGTATTGCAGCCTGTTCAGTTTTGTGCTGAACCTACCAAGATTTGGTTGTTCTCAGAGTCCTTGAACGTGGATGGTCTGCAATTTTATTGATTTATTTATTTTTTTTTACTTTAAACTACTGATAAACTAAGAGCTTGTCTTTGCTGGAAAGATGCATTGCTTTATCTTCTTTGGCACTGCTAATGCAGTCCATTTCTCCCTTGTGGGCACTATAGGTGGATCTGGGAGCACTAGCAGTAGACATTACTCAATTTTCAGTTCCTTACTAGTTAGCCAAACATTTAAT